CTGCCGAAACGAGAACTTTTACGTACTTTAAATGTCTTTGCAAAAGGTTCCTTTTTCTTGGAAATGTGGTATTATAAGTTGAACTAAATTCAGAAATTTTAAATTTTTAAATAGTTATTGCCTACTCCTTTCTACTTTGAGAATTCTAATTATATGAATATAAGGTTCTTGGTTTTGACACAGTGAGCTATTATGACTGATCTGTAAATTCTTCATTTTTATTTTGGACAGTTTTTATTATATTGTTACGTTTGTAAATAATTCATTTTCAATTTGCAATCTATTGAAAAATTTAAAAATAAAATAAAATGAATCTAAGAGACCCAGGCACTAACTTAGCTCCTTCAGTATGCCACTTCCTGTTCTGACATTAGCTATTCCTTGTGGTGCCTACAAGAGTGACGCTGTTAATTGTCACCATTTGACAAATCGTGGGCAAACTGAGGGTCAGGTTGCCAGGCTAGTACCACACAGCCGAGAAACGAGTGAAGCAGGAAGTAGAACTCTGGCTCCAGCCACCTGTGTTCCAGCCCACTGTGCAAACAGAGTGAAGGGGTGGGGGGAGGATGTACAGGACAGGAGTGAGGCAGGGTCTTCCACAGCTCCTCCCTGCTGCCACTGCCCAGCTGTCCCCCGAATTCCTGCAGCCCTGCTCTGGTCTGCCCACCCAGCCCCACCCTCCCTTTGCCAACACAGGTCAAGCAGGGTTTGTGGGCTCTGATAAGGCCCTGGTGAGGTCGAAGTCCACCACACTTCCTCCTTACAGGAAGGCGGGGTCATGACTAAGGTTGGTAGGGGACAGGAGGTTAGGGTGTGTCCTTGGTATCCCCAGAAGAGGGACCTGGCAGACCCTCCCCTGCCCGCCCCTCCCCCTCAGTATAAAGGGCCGCCTACCACCTGTCACTGGCCTCCATTCCCATCCTGCAGCTCCTTCCCAGGACAGCCGCCTGCCCAGCCTCGAGATGGCCTACGTCCCTGCACCGGGCTACCAGCCCACCTACAACCCGGTGAGAGATGGCTCCATCCACCGATTCACCCCAACCTGGATCCTTGGTGGGGGGCCCTGCTCAGGGGTTTGACTTATCTGCTACTGACCCCAAGACTTGAGTGACTCCCACCTGGATGTTCAGCCCATTTGAGGCCACATCTAACTCCAGAGCCATACTCATCCCCTGTCCCTTTGCCCCGAGTTTCCCCATCCCTACATAGTAAGGGAGGCTTTCTAGTGAGGAGGAAGGGCTCTGACACTCCTCCCTGGGCTCCCTTTGCAGACTCTGCCCTACAACATGCCCATTCCTGGTGGCCTCAGCATCGGAATGTCAGTTTACGTCCAAGGAGTGGCCAACGAGAACATGAGGCGGTGAGACCCTCCCCACCCACCTGGATAATCAGAGAGAGATACTGGTCCACCCAGGGAAAGGTCCCAGGGGACCTTTTTCCCTCCTCGTCCTGCAACCAGACTAAGACAGGGTGTTGTTTTTTGTTTGTTTGTCTTGGTTTTACTGTGTAGTTAAGGCTGGCCTTGAACTTACAATGTAGCTCAGGCTGGCCTCAAACTCTTGAACTTGAGATGATCCTCTTGCCTCAGCCTCCTGAGTGATGGAATTACATGCATTTGTCACCATACCTGGACCCAGGACAGGGGTTTTGCCTCCTCAACTGATAGGGGTAAGAAGGATAACTGAGGAAGGCAGTGCAGGCAGTGGGCACAGCCAGTACAATGGCCCTGAGACAACCTCATGCCTGCCCTGTGAAATGCTGGCCTCCTAAGGCTGCTGTGTCACGCCGTGCGGGGCAGGCTCTACTTTGGATAGCCACAGGGTCTTTTAGGCATTAGGGGAGGACTGGTGGGGGCCAGGAAGCAGCAGGGAACGCTTCAGTGGCATAGGGAAGGGCCTGATCCATGGCGAAATAAGTTGTGGCTAATGCCCAAGTTGACTGGTGGCAGCTGTCACTTGAAGCTGGGGGGTTGGTCTCGAAGGAGAAGCCATCAAGCTGAGTGTAGTGTCACATGCCTGTGATCTTAGCACTTGGGAGGCTGAGGCAGGGGGATTGCCTGGAGTCTGAGGACAGCCTGGGTACCTAGTAAATTCAAGGCCAGTATGGACTACATGTTGAGACCTTGCCTAAAAAAAAAAAAAATTGTTTTTAAAGAAGTCATGAACAATTCAAAAAAAAAAAAAAGTCATGAACAAAAGAGCGTCTGTGGGGCTCTGCCTCCTGCAGTGCAGCCGTGACTTCCCTCCTTGCCTGGGTCACCAAGGCTGGTTGGGTCCAAGGCTAAATCAGAGAGGGTGGGGACAGGGTGAGGACAGTTTCCTGGATGAGGTGCCAGGGAATCAGGCCTTGATGTCTTCCCAGGTTCTTTGTGAACTTCGTGGTGGGAAGCTCCCCAGGGTCAGACATCGCCTTTCACTTCAATCCCCGTTTTGATGGCTGGGACAAGGTGGTCTTCAACACGAAGCAGGGCGGCCAGTGGGGCGAGGAGGAGCGGAAGAGGAGCATGCCCTTCAGCAAGGGCGCTGCTTTTGAGCTGGTCTTCATGATCCTGCAGGAGCACTACAAGGTCCTGGCCCCGCCGTCCAGCTTTCCTTCCCTCCCTCTTCCTCCTCTTCACCATCCTCCTCCTCCTGCCCCACTCTTTCCTTCTCGTACTGGGGCGTGAACCCAGTGCTCGGCACTGGGCAACGTTGGCTGCTCTTTTTATTTTGAGACTGGGTCTCGCCAAGTCAGAGCTGTCAGGGCTGGGCTCTAACCTACTGTGCTCCTGGCTCAGCCTCCAAAGTGCTGGCTTCCAGCCTCACCGAGCCCAGCACCTAGCTCATTTTCTTTCCATTCCTTTCTTCCATGGGAGCCTTCTATTCCATGGAACCCACATCTTGTCCTCCTTCAAGGTCTCACAGTGAGGACAGTGGCTGTGTTTGGCTATCAGCTCTGGACCCCTACAAAAGGAAGCACCAGACACAAGGAGTCTGTGTCTTCCACCCACTCAGACAGTTGTCCCTTCAGGTCCCTCCCCTTCATCTTTTCCACATACTCCCCTTTCCATATTATTTGAAAGTCAATTCCAGACATTACATCACGCCATTCATAAATATTTCCTCTAAAGGACACACACATAGTCACGATGTCATGATCACACCTAAAAATGAACTGTTCTTCTTTACATCACCACATGTCCTGTCCTGTTCCAGCTGTCTCGTAAATGCCAGGCATCTGTTGCTTTTCCTACGTGTTTGAACCTGGGTCCCCACAGGCCCACACAGCTGATGCATACTGCATAGGTGGCTGTGGTATTTGACAACAAAGCCACTGGATTTTGCAAGCATAATGCAACCTGGTGCCAGGCCCTCAGCCAGAAATGGGGCCTCCAGCCCCGAACCCCTATGTGCCCATCACTTCTTGCAGGGTGGGCTGCATCCCCAATCCTCTCCAACTATCCATGGGCCTGCTTTTTATTTAAAGTGTGGAAATACTCAGCACTGAACCATTGCCTCGTTTTTCTTCTTTTCCTTGTGCCACTGAGCTGCACCAATCCCCCTTTGAGATAGGTTCTCACTATCACCAAATCACCCTACTGGGCTTGAACTTGCCGTTCTCCTGCCTCAGCCTTCAGAATGCTGGGATTATGGTTTGTGAGCACATTTTTTACCCCAACTGTACTGCAGGCCTCTAGACTCCAAGGTTTCTGATTCTGAGGCTCTTCTAGCTCACCCTAAGGCTGTGAACCCAAAGTCCAAAAGTCCTTGCTTCTGCCTCCCCAACATCATGGCACTGACTCCCGACCTCTCCCGAATGGCCTTCAGGTCGTGGTGAACGGAAACTCCTTCTATGAGTACAAGCACCGGCTACCCTTACAGATGGTCACCCACTTGAATGTGGATGGGGATTTGCAGCTGCAGTCCATCAACTTTCTTGGAGGCCAACCTGCCCCAAACCAGGTGTGTGGGGTCCCCTCCTTTATTTGATTCCTTCCCTCCTTAATCTAATCTCACATCCATTTATTGCCCGAGCACTGGACCTGTGCCAGTCCCTCCAAGGGTTGGCACCAGGGATGTTGGGGCGACCAAGACTGTCCCTGGGAAGACAGACATCCACAGATGACTATGGGGAGGTACAGGCTGAGGGTCGGGACCAAGGTGAGGGGTCTTCAATCAGTTCTGAGTCTAAAGGGGGGGACGTGGCTTAGTCATGAGTCAGGAAGTATTTCCTGGAGGAGGAGTTGAACTAAATCAATAAGCATAGATAAAGAGAAAAGAACTGGAGAATTCACCAGGGGTTGTTTAAATTCCCCCTGGGACTAATCACCTGGGAACCTCAAGGCCACAGTGTGTGGGCAGCACACACCCATCAGTGTGTGGGGGTGTGAACTGGCAGTCTCCTTGGCAAACGGCTGCTGGCAGCTCAAACTGAGCAAACCCGTGCCCGAGGGATCTACAGACCCCATCCCCTGGTCCTGAGTGGGCAGGCAATCACCAACACCACCTGCCACGATGGTCACAGTGGCACTGTCCTGTAGCCAGCTTGAGGCTGGGTCTATGAAGTATGCAGGGCCCTAGGTCCCATCCCCAGCACCTAAAGGAAACAAAAGGCACAAAACCTTGCTGAGCATGTAATGCATTGTGAGTGTGAGACCAGCCTGGGCTACAAAGGGAGCTCAAGGCCAGCCTGAACTGCACAGTGAGACCCTGTCTCAAAAAGACAAAAACAAAACAAAACAAAAAAAACCACCCTCACAACTGAAACTACCAGGGTAGTTCTTGCTCTTTGACAAGTGAGTAAGGATGGTGTATTCATGACCCAAAGTCAAGAGAAAACAATTAATATGGGTCAGCCAGATAGCTCAGCAGATTGAAGCACCTGCTTGGGCAGAGCACAGTGGCTGGGGTTCAATCCCTGACATGCCATGCCGGCCCTGCCCACGGGGCGAGTTGAGACAGTAATTGAGTCTGGGCGTGGTGGGGTACACCTGCAATCCTAGCATTTGGGAGACTGAAAATAGGAGAATCACTATGAGTCCAATCTATGGAGTAAGACCCTGTAGACCCTGTACTAAATACATTAAAAAAAAATTATAGCTACACACTGGAAGGGGCCTCTTTCATCAGATATAGAATTAGATAAACAAGTCTATAGCCACAAAGGAAAAAAAAGCTCCATTAAATGTCGGGAGATATCAGACACGGGCATGAAGAAAGGGAACTCCCTAGAAAACTTGGTCTCAGAGCCAGCCATGGTGGTGCACACCCGTAATCCCAGCACTGTGGAGGCAGAGGCCAGAGGATCACAGTTTGAGCCCAGCCTAGTGAGACCCTGTCTTACAATAACGAATTTAAAAACAAGAGCTGAAGATATAGTGCAACCCCCAGTACTGTAAACAAAACAAAAACCAGGGGCTGGAGAAATAGTTCAGAGGCATAAGCACCTACCTGGCAAGCACAAGGACCTGAGTTTGATCCCCTGCCCCATATGCCGTGCAATCTTGGCCCTGGACTGGGGCCCCAGAACTGGACGTGGTGGTGCACGCCTGTAATCTCAGCACTTGGGAGGCTGAGCCAGAAGGATCTCTGTGAGTCTAAGATGACCTAGAGGCTACAAAAGTGAGCATAAGGCTAATCCAAACTGCACAGTGAGACCCTGTCTCAAAACAAACAAACAAACACCTTTGATTTGGGCAACAGTACCTGTAAGGAAGCAAAGGGGTGGA